TATGTAATAGATATGCTACAGTAAAGTGATTATATAAATAATATGCCTATGTACATTGTATTTGTTGGGTTATTAAATTGCTGGTGAGGGTGGGTGAGACCGGGGGGGGGAGGGAGGGGCCCGAAGGTGATTGCTGCCCCAGGGCCCGACCAGGCTCTCGACGGCCCTGTCTCTCTGTGTTGGTGGTTAGAGTACAGCATCACTATCACTATAACTATGTATAGCTCCATAGCTCCACCATCTGATGATTACATTGTATCACTTTATCAGTCTGTTATTTCTGGCTGCCTCACTTCTTCCTATCGCTAGTGCTGGGCAAGATCCGGATAACATCCCGACAACCGGATAATTCTCAATGAAAGAACATTATCCGAATTTAGACTCTTAAACTCTCTTTCCTAACCCATTTGCCGGAGTGGGTGCACCTATTTGTTGAAGTGGTTCGAATCCGTTTGTCGAAGTGGTTCTATCTAACCTATCTGCCGAAGCGGTTCATAACGCATTTAATTGCCGAAGAGGAGCACTAACATAATATTATCCGAATTATGCTAAAGAGACTCATTGCCCAGCCCTACCCATCGCCCGTCGCAGGTTTATCATAACGCTACTGCACTGGTGTTCTTCTCTGGACCTAAAAGCAAGGGCTAAACCTGTTTATTTACTCTGGGAGTTTTTCATTTGTCTATTTTTTCGGGGAGTGGGGTATTTTTTATTTTTGTTGAGTTTTTTTGGAGGAGAAAGGGGGGAGGGGGAGTCTTTTGGGGATTTTGTTGTAATGTTTATTGTTGTTTTCGGGCGGGAAGTAGAGGTGGGCAAAATCCGGATAATCTATAAGGAAAACCGGATAATTCTCAATGAAACATTATCCGAATTCAGACTCCTAACTCTCTTTCCTGATCCGTCTGCTGAAGTGGGTGCACCCATTTGTTGAAGTGATGCTAACCCGTTTGTCGATGCGGTTTTAACCCATTTGACGAAGCGGTTCATATCATATATTTGCCGAAGAGGAGCATTAACATATTATCCGGATTTTGGTAAAACGACTCCTTGCCCAGCCCTAGCGGGAAGAGGTTGTTCTTGTTTTCGGGAAGAGGGGTTGGGGG